TTCACCGGGTTAGCCAGGATGGTCTCGATCTCCTGACCTCGTGATCCGCCCAACTCGGCCTCCCAAAGTGCTGGGATTACAGGCTTGAGCCACCGCGCCCGGCCAGCATGCATGTTTTATACACACATAAACTCACATATATGTATATATCAGGTGAGTAATGGACATGAAAGCATTTTGAAGCTATGAGGTGTTTTACCATTGTATATGTAGGTAAGGTATGGAAAGAACCCTGAGATTCTGGCTGAGGACCCTGGTTTTGAATCTGTATATTCTTCCAATTTTGAGTTGTGGGGCCCAGAGCTTCATATTTTTATTTTTTATTTTTATTTTATTTTATTTTTTTTGAGATGGAGCTTAGCTCTGTTGCCCAGGCTGGAGTACAGTGGTGCGATCTCGGCTCACTGCAAGCTCCGCCTCCCGGGTTCACGCCATTTTCCTGCCTCAGCCTCTCGAGTAGCTGGGACTACAGGCTGAGTAGCTGGGGCTACAGGTGTCCGCTACTATGCCCGGCTAATTTTTTGTATTTTCAGTGGAGACGGGGTTTCACCGTGTTAGCCAGGATGGTCTTGACCTCCTGACCTCGTGATCTGCCTGCCTAGGCCTCCCAAAATGCTGGGATTACAGGTGTGAGCCACCGCTCCTGGCCCTGAGCTTCACGTTTTTATTTATAAACTGGCAGTTGCAATGCCTCACTGACCTATTGTGAACCCCAAGTGAAATTGTTTCTCATGTGTCTAATAATTACAAAGTGTAAATACGGATGTATGGTGACATTGTTAAGTCAAATAATGCAGTATAGATGGAAGTAGACAAACCAAAAGATGTAGGAGAAATTATGATTAGGTAATATCCATTTAGTTTTTCTTTTCTTCTTTCTTTTCTTTTTTTTTTTTTTTTTTGAGACGGTTTCACTCTGTCATCCAGACTAGAGTGCAGTGGCGTGGTCTCAGCTCACTGCAACCTCCGCCTCCCAGGTTCAAGCAATTCTCCCACCTCAGCCTCCCAAGTAGCTGGGCCTACAGGTGCATGCCACCACACCCAGCAAATTTTTGTATTTTTAGTAGGGAGGGGGTTTCACTGTGTTGACGAGGCTGGTCTTGAACTCCCGACCTCATGGTCTGCCCACCTTGGCCTCCCAAAGTTCTGGGATTACAGGCGTGAGCCACTGCACCCAGCTTGCTTTTTTTTTTTTTTCCTTTGAGACATAGTTTCACTCTGTCCCCCAGGCTGCAGTGCAGTGGCGGGACCTCTGCTCACTGCAGCCTCTGCCTCCTGGGTTCAAGTGATTCTCCTGCCTTGGCCTCCCAAGTAGCTGGGACTATAGGCGCATGCCAGTATGCCCAGCTAACTTTCATATTATTAGTAGAGACCGGATTTTGCCATGTTGGCCAGGTTGGTCTTGAATTCCTGACCTCAAGTAATCTGCCTGCCTCGGCCTCCCAAAGTGCTGAGATTAGAAGTGTGAGCCACGGTGTCCGGCCTGATTTTTCTTGAAATTATGTTTCAACAGTACTTTTTTTTTCTAGAAAAGAACTTGAAATTTCTGGCCAGGCGCTGTGGCTCAAGCCTATAATCCTAGTACTTTGGGAGGCCGAGACGGGCAGATCACGAGGTCAGGAGATCGAGACCAGGCTGGCTAACGCGGTGAAACCCTGTCTCTACTAAAAAATACAAAAAAACTAGCTGGGCGAGGTGGCGGGCGCCTGTAGTCCCACCTACTCAGGAGGCTGAGACAGGAGAATGGCCTAAACCCAGGAGTCGGAGCTTGCAGTGAGCTGAGATCCGGCCACTGCACTCCAGCCTGGGCGACAGAGCAAGACTCCATCTCAAAAAAAAAAAAGAAAAGAAAAGAACTTGAAATTTCCTTACAACCATTGCCTTAGTAGTGCTAGTTTACATGATTTCTCTCCTAAAACCTATCACCAGCGCCTTCTTGGAGTGTTTCTTATGGCAGTTGATGGCACCATCTGCCGAGTTACTTGGGAAGGATCACCTGAGTCCTCCTTCTCACCACTCCACTCCTCCTGTCCTGCCCATCAGTTGTTCTGTCAGTGTTATTCCCAAGTAGACCACACAGCTGATGGCAGCATCTTTAACCTAAGCCTCTGCCCACCTCCAGCCAGCCCATAGCTCTCACTCTTGGTCCCCCTTAGTATGTTCTCAAAACAGGAAAAGCAACAACAGTTTTTTGTTTTTTGTTTTGAGACGGAGTCTCCCTCTGTCGTCCAGGCTGGAGTGCAGTGGTGCAATCTCGGCTCACTGCAGCCTCTGCCTTCCAGGCTCAAGCAGTTCTCATGCCTCAGCCTCCTGAGTAGCTGGGACTACAAGTGTGCGCCACCACACCTGACTAATTTTTATATTAGTAAAGACAGGGTTTCACTGGATGGCCAGGCTGGTCTGGAGCTTCTGGCCTCAAGTGATCCACCTGCCTCTGCCTCCCAAAGTGTTGGGATTACAGGCAGGAGCCACTATGCCCACCTGCAACAACTGATTTTTTGTTTGTTTGTTTGTTTGTTGAGACGGAGTCTCGCTCTGTCGCCCAGGCTGGAGTGCACTGGCGCGATCTAGACTCACCTTAAGCTCTGCCTCCCAAGTTCACGCCATTCTCTTGCCTCAGCCTCCCGAGTAGCTGGGACTAGAGGTGCCTGCCACCATGCCTGGCTAATTTTTTGTATTTTTAGCGTCTTCACTCCTACAAATTATTTCAAAAAATTAGCTCTGGTGCATGTTTGGTGGCATGCTGCCTGAATAACAGGCTACTCGGGCGAACCTGAGGTAGGAGAATCACTTCGACACAGACAGCGTGTAAGGTGCTATTACAACCCTGAAATGAGTGCCACTGCACTTCTCCAGTTCTCTGCAAAAAGACAAAACTCCCATCCATATACAACACACCAAACATAAAACAAATATAAATATGTAATATAAAGATAAGTCAAATTGTGCCAGCTTAATATCCAATACAGGAACCACACATCACATGACCCACACAACACACATCAACAAGAGAACCCTAGGAGTATAGGACTAGAGAGGAGACCTATGGCGTGGCCAAAAGCCTATAAATAACCTACAGCACTCGTAAATCTGGCCGACGAGAGCCGAGTGGGCAGTATCCAACACAGTCCAGGCTGCATGACACTGTTCCAATTCTCAGCCATACATCCCATGTCGGCGGAAACCCACCCCTACTAAGAGAGAGCGACCTTAGAGAGGCCTTAAGCGCCGTGCCTGGTGCCATGCCGCCAGCAGTATATGTCCCAACAACACAAACACCTACGGAGCCCCTGAGGAAGGCAGGGGCTGGCACTTCCTGAAGGCAAACTGCCCCAAGCCAAATTCCTTAATGCATCTGAGAACCTGCTGGAGAGAGTTCGCTTTAACCACATGGAGCGCAGAGGTAATGCACAGTGAGCCAAGATTCATCCTAACTCGACCCCTTACCCCAGCCTGGAGACAGAGCAAGACCTCTGTCCTCACTAAAAAAAAACCACAAAAAAACAAACACAAAGCAGCGTGCGCAAGCCACGTACCGGCACGTCAGCGATATTCGAGAGAGCGCCAGCTGGTTCACTATGCACAGTCAGAACGAACCCCTGGCAGAGTTCTTGGACCTCGAAGCCCCGTCTCGCGAACATTCATAAAAAATATAAAAAACGCAAGGTCGCCGAGGAGCCGCAAGGTGGTCCTTTAGAGCGAGCCCCTTCTACCTGAGCCAGTCCCAGCTACTCGCTGACATCCTGAGCAGGTTCGAAGAGAGCGGTAAACTCCGAAGCGCACCGGACCTCTTCGCAGTGCACTGACGACATCCCAGCCTGCCGCCACTCCAGCCACTGGCAGAAGAGCAGAGGATTAAGACTCATAGGCAGTTCGCCGTCACATGAGATGGCATGCTACCCGAAATATATTAAAGCAAACACACACAACCAAAGGTCCAGGGCGTGGGCTCACGCCTGTAATCCCAATGCTTTGGGACCGAGGTGGTTGGACCACAAGGTCACGGACGATGGAGACCCAGCATTCTGGCTAGTCAACAGCTTAGAGCGCCTCCGTCCTG